ATAAGACTAAACCAAATTATACATTATTGAACTGTGTGTCACTCAAAACACGCATGCACTACATCTAAATGGATATGCCGGACACTTGGGATGGGCATTTCAGTCAAATTTGATAATCAAATTTCAAAGGTATTATTCCACTTAGCATTTCACAACTGCTGAAACCCAGACCAAAAACCAACAGTATGTGACCTTCGGCTTGAAACGTACACCTAAAAAGGCAGATAATCTGAAGTCTCTCAAATGAACTGCCACCTGGCAATCTGTAATCTGTTTTTTTTTGTTTTTTGTTTTTTTTTTTTAACTTTTCATCAGTGTTACAAGCCCAGTCACATCATATTTCACCTTGTACCTTTCAGCTGGAAGAGAGTGAGTTTATGGAGTTCATTAGCTGACCCCAAACCTGATAAATTAACTAAAGCTGTGAGCAAAACCACATTCTACCATACTAAATAGTACGTAAAACAGTATAACACCATTAGTAGTGCATTCGTCAGCGCAACATGCATAGTCTGGTAGTATCCAGTTTTGGACACTGCCTACACCAGGGGTGTCAAACTCAACCAGTAAAAGGGCCATATTAAAAATCTCATCAAATCCAGGGGTCAGAGAAAAAAATGTTTTTATTTCATTTTTAATTCATGTTGTGCTATAACCTTACTGGCCATTGTTTATTCAAAATATGTAAAACTTCTGCAGTAGAATATAGACACTTATCGTACACCTTGAAATATTACATGGACCCTTGAAATATTCAAAATTTAAATGTCTCCAGGTGCTCTGCCTTTTAAGCCTACCTATCTGCTTGAACTAGACAACTGGGATTCTTTCTTTGCTGCATTGACTTAGGCTCAATTTCTGAGCTGCTGAGCAAATGTTAAGGGTTCATATTGGTTGAACTGCATTTAGTTGTTTGGTGATACGACTGGTGTGGACTGTATAGAATTGTGTAGAACTGAGGTGTAACCGCTGTTCCATAGACTGTTGTTGGGGTAGGAGAGACACATATTACGTTGCCATGCATGCTGGGGACTGTTGTGCAGCACATGGTGAAATGGGCCAACGTTAATAGAAAATTTAAATCTTCTTCTTCTACTTCTGCGGGCTGGATAGAATTGTGTGGCGGGCCTGATCTGGACCGTGGGCCTTGTGTTTGACACATGGGGCCTACACGATATTCAAAGTTTGATTTCTTCAAAGCTATATGAGTAGAACGCAAAAAGTTTTTCTGCAACACTTCCTATGTGCTATAGCTGTGCTTTGTACCATCTGCTACACAGGCTCTCCAGCAGTAGAGCACAGTCCTTCTCTTCCAGTGTACGGTAGCCTTTAGCTGCTGCAGTAGTCTTTCTATGCAACCTTCTTCGGCCAGGTTAGAAACACTCACCAAAATTCAAGTTCTACACTGCCCTCTGGTGGAGTGTAGAGTCCATTGAATGATGTATAATGTTAGAGAGAAGCTAAAAAAAATCCTAATTTACTTAACTGATTTATGTTTTTCAAATTTCATGACTATTCAAACATTTGAAAGTTCTGACTGCCCTGCTGCATCCACATCCCCCCACACACCAGCTTGTTCACATAAATATTCATACAGTTCTTTCTCTCCTCTAGTGACCTCTGGACCTCTTATAAAGTAACACGCAAACATGACTAGAGCTGAAATCCAAGGGCTGGCGCGTGCCCAACTGGGTGAGACAAGCAGATGGCATCAGCCCACATCCCCTCACACAGAGTGGGCATGACACAAATCCATCTCTCTCTCTCACACAAACACACACACACACAAGTTGAGGTTTAATGGAGCTAAAGGCCAGTCCGATTACAGCATGGGGGGCAGCGGAGAGGTGAGAAGAGGACAGTGGGCAGGACTAGAAACAAGCCTCTCTGGTCTGTGACTGTTCCAAAAAGCACAACTTGCCCCAAATTGACCTACCCATGCCCCACCCACAAACGCATTCTTTCATAGCAATAGCTGCCAGGCTGGACAAGCTTAACAGAACTCTGGCAAACAGAATCGTATTCATGATAAGCTAATGATAAATTCTTGCAAACAGCTCTATGTACGCCTGTGAAAAGTTAGTCAATTCAATAAATTAAGCTACTTTGAGGAAAATTCCAAAAATCAAATTTCTGACCAATTCAACTGTTGAAATGTGAACAAAGTCAGAGTGAGCTGATGCGAAATTACGCATTGCAGAGAAACGTATAGATTCAGCTTGCTTCACAGTGGTGGCTACAATCAATCATATCGCTGCTGTCAGAACAAAACCTTGTATCTCCATTTTTGTTGTTTTTCAGTTTTTGACAATTTCAAAGTGCAAGTTTACATTGTGTGTAAATTAATGATGAATGAAGCAACAGAAATTAGCCAAAACGACAAAACGTCTGGTTCCACTGACTTACATTGAAAGTACAATGTGTTTTTCCTTCTCCTGTAAAGTTACCATTTTGGACATACCAGGTTTTCTTCCGACATCAGCAACATGCATCATTTATGCAGAGAGTTTTGAGAAATTGGTCAAATTCCTTTTAAGGTGCACCACTGCTTACACAAGCATTCAATTGCACACACACAGCTTGTATAATCTTCACAGAAAAGTCCTGTCAATAGAATCAGACACTTTAGAGCAGCCGCACATGTCTAAGGTCACCAAGCTTAATGCCAAGCATTGGCTAAAGGGATATAAAGCGCTCCATCCAGTATCTCTGGGATGAGCTGGAGTTGAATTTGTGATCCAGAACTACAAGAGTACTGACCAACATCAGTCATGTCCACTCCACATTCTGATTAAAGCCTGACAAATCCTGAGAAATTTTCAGTGTTTCTGTGGACTGCTCTGCGACTATGCACTGGAACTATTCATAATTAAAAGATTTTAAATATCACATCCGCAGCATCAAGACATCTACAGCTATCGTAAATGTGAAAGCAGCATTCCTGCAAACAAAAGGGCATGTAAACAAAACACAAGTGCCTTGGACTTTTCCAACGAGAGACAGAGATGGAGAGAGAGAGAGACAGAAGTCAGTGGGTTTACCTGCCTCCCATTACTATCCCCATGACAACTGCTTCCACCTGAGACATGCTCTATCACCACGGCAACGCACCAACTCCAAACAGGCTGGCTTTCGATAGATGGAAGGTGAGAGAGAAGGACAGATGGATGGACGGACAGAGCAGCGAGGACGAAATACAAGAAGAGAGTAAGCAATGGCTTGTTTTGAGAGGGAGAAAGAGGGAGGGAGGGGAAGAACACGAAGGAAAGACAGAAAACCCTCAAATGTCAGAGGACGCAGGCTGAAGCCAGCAGTCCTGATGGATCTAACAGACATGTTTCTGAAAGAGCAGAATGAAAAAAGAAAAAAAAAATGTTCTATGTAAACAGCTCTTCTTTCATTTCCTTGGCTGTAAATCTCAGCGCAGAAGTGGGTCAGTGCGCAGAGCCACGGCTCAAAGCGAGCTCACGTTTGTTTTGTCTGTTCTTTTGCTTTTTCGGCCTCAAGTTCAACAGCCTGTCCATCCAAACACCACCAGTTTAACTCACACACCACTGGACAACCCAGCAAAGTCCACTTCCTTTGTTAACGTGAACCAGAAACCAGTTCCTTTACGGCTTCCTTCGTTATGAGATAACGTACTGAACAAAAGTAAACCTGAAGAATGAGGCTCTGACAGAAAACCTCCAAGGACAAACTGAAAGCCTGCTGTGTAGTCTGTGAGGAGTCTGTTCTTGTGTATAAGTGTGCACGCACCTCGTGCTTGGGCATCCATGGTGCTCACAGGGGCAAGTTTAGTAAGCTCTCGCACAGGCTTCTGCACTGGCTCCGGTTTGGGAGGAGGGACAGGCTCCGGCAAAACTGCCATAGAGAAAACATTTATGTTATGTACATAAGTCATTTTCTCAGATTCTGAGGCATATAGAGAGAAAGAGACTGTATGCGCTCGTGGGTGCTGCAGGATTCTTTGGAGCAATGCCACAGAACATGGGTGCCCAAACTTTTTATCTTTGGGGGCCAAAGTGCAATATCTGTGGTGGGCCGAGGGCCAAAACAATAAAACAATGAAACAATATACAAATAACGAAGGTACAGAGGTTTCAAATTGAGCCAGTATTTTACACATTTACATCATATTTTGTTACTAAAATAAAATACAATTGCAAAAAGAAGTTCCATACAGGCCGTAATAAGGATGTAATAACGTCATAGCAGACGTCATATGCTACCATGAGTTGATAGATTATGTTCAGTATTATAATAGCGACATGTTACCAGCAATGCCATAACAGATACCATAATGTTTGAGGTCATGCTAGCTTATGTCATGCTAATTTTTAAGGTAACACCTCACTGCAGGCCAGTATTTATAAGACTACATGACACATGCATAAGCTTAAAGTGGGCAATGATGATATTTTATCATTATCATGACAAACAATATGCTTTTGTGATATCATGGATGTTATCAGTATTTAAAGAACACTCACCAACTGCAGATTTCATTAAAAAGAGAGCATAGTTAGACTTTAACTGGAATTAGTGTGGTACAGTATAAAATGTTGAATAAACCATTGTACCCAGAGTTTTTATTAGCTGTTTTTAAACATGGCATTACTAGTGCACCGTGCCTGTGTGAAAGTATTACGATGTGTATTGTGCATAGTGAAAATTTCTTTAAGCATCACAATATGATAATTTTACTATATCGCACATTCCTACATGGCATCATAACTTACATAAACCTACTTCACCATTTATAAAAGGCTTATTCTAACAGACATCAATGGCCATAAAGGTTGCTTTAGTCAACTTCGATGTTAGGCCAGGTAACATCGATTTGTTTGTGTGACACTTTTTTGGGTGAAATGACAAAGCATGTTATAATAACTGACCTTGTAGTATGGAGTTCATCATAGTGACAATGTTAGTGATGCAACATAACCAAAATGTCAGAAATGGTAAATTTAAATCACCCTCACTTTTGTTAAACTAACCATGGCGAGCTGTTATATTTGTCATCTGACATACATTTTGTCATTATTATGTCAACTTGACATCAAAACTGGCAAATGTAAACTTTAACAAACAACATCTATTGGAATTTGTTTTGCTTATGTAGATGTATGTCCATTGTCATGAAGGGCTTATGTAGGTGTCATGTAGCCTTATGAACACCATTGTACAGTACAGTTTTGCCACTTTTCCTAAGTGTACTCAAGTTAGCAGTCACAATGTCAAAACGCATACGGCATAACAACAGTAATGGTGTCATAACGTATGACAACATATCACATTAGCCATTGCATGTTTATGGCATGGTTATGTCAATGTTATGTAACAGGGTTCAGGTAAAGTTTTACCAAACACGTTTGGTCAGTCATTGGTGAGGAGGCGGGGTAAGAGTAAATTGTATAGGTTAACTTAACCTATAGACGAACCACCAACCTCCTGGAAGCACCTTTCAAAGCATGGTTCATTAAAGAACTATTTTTGTAAATGAGTTGTGAGAGTGTGAAGAACCCTGAATCCAAGTAAAGGAACCTTTACTTGTGCCTCAGAAGGACAGTTACCTGGTTCAGGCGGAGGTGGTGGTGGCTCCTCTGCAGCCACAGCAGCTGCCTCATTGGCCATGGAGCGGGTAGTGATGCGGCCCTTACGGCGGCCCTGGCTGTTGGCCGTCTTGCGGCCCCGTGGCGTGCTCTGCTCCTTGCCCTCCTCGTCCTCCCCCTCGCACTTCTCTTTGTCTTTGCCAATGTCCCTGAGCACAGAACGCAGCCAAGAATTAACACGCACACAATCCCTTACGCAGTTTCTGCCTTTGTTTGCCTTCAATTCTCAACAGACCAACATAGATAAAGAAAATACAATAAATTCTTGTGATTTAACTGCCCAAGCTAATCAGCTCAGCAGCATAGGAGGCTGCTTAGTGTTCTAAAAGTATTACGCTTTGGGTAATATAAACTGCAGTGTACAAAGTAGGGACTTTTTTTTTTTTTTTAAATGGAGACAGAAAGTCTTTGTTTAGGTTTTATCTCTGGGTATCACTGAGTTTATGACTGGCCTGAAGCCTTTTAGGCCTAAAAATATATACAAAGTCCAGATCAGGAGTTATTCCTAAGCTGCGTGGAGTCCCAAGTTACTGACATAACTCATACCAGGAACTATAAATGTGAACTCTAAACGAGTTGATGCAATTAGACAGAAGATCTTGTCTACAACTTTGGCTTCATAAATGACATAACAGATTTTCCCCCTGCATGTTTACCTAAAATTTCCTCTGTTTCATTCATACAGGGCCAACCTATTTCCAGGAAGCCTACGTCGGACAGATCCTCAAGCGTACGTGCACAGGCGATCAGCATTTCTCCACCAAGTGAATTCTCAGAAAAACAACAGTGAGGTGGACCACAGCCCAGCACTGCTACCGAGGGTTTCATCCACTGGGTTTAAAGGTTCTTCAATAAGTGGCAAACACACCACAAGCTGTCTAGTTAGTAAAAGACCACTATTCCAGAAAGCAATGTAGTAGGATGGAGGAAAAGAGTGGTGAAGAAAAAAGGAAATGGAGAAAAAGGAACATAGATGGGCTGGAACCACTTCTGAAGAATTCTCACTTATGAACTGAAGAGGTTGGCTATGGCAAGAGGCCTAACAGCCTTTAATAAGTGGTCTAAGCTCACATTCCTCTCTCTACTAAAAAGAAAAACAACAAGCTAGTCCTGTATGAGCAACAAAAGCCAAACTCCACTATACAGAGCCTATTGGCATGTTAAAGAAAGGTCTGTGACCTGGAATTATTTAAGAGGCTCTTTATGGTAAGATGTGTTGACCTGGGATGACCTGCAGAACTTCTGCCGCCAATGCTGAAGGCTTGAATTTACGCTGGGCCCTTCTGTTGGATTAGTGTTGTCAGAGCAAAGGCAAAGGCCAGACAACAGGGTTTTTTAAAAAATAAAAAAAGAAATTTATGGGAGATGGATGTATGATGATAGAACCATGCCAGTATCAGCAGACAATTATTTTAAAAATATAAATGAATGAACAAAAAAGTTTAATAATAACAAAAAATTAAAAAACACCACAATGCTTAGATTTAACTGATTATTCAAATTGCTATTTGATGACACAGGCCTTTTAGGTGATGCTGGACTACTACAATAAATTGCTTACATTTTATTCGTTTATTTGTTACTGAATAATCCTTTAGAATTAAAAATATAATTACTCCACAACGCTAATGCAAGTGAACCTAGTTTCAGTTTCTACATATTATAAATGTTTCTGTATCTCCATCAACACATTTGTACATTAAAAAGGTTAGATATTGACATCGACCAAGAATTCCCATATCAGTGCAGCCACTCACTTTGAGTCCTCTTTTTCATCTTTCTCCTCCTCTTCCTTCTTCTCGTCGTCCTCTTTCTTCTCCGATTTCTCAGATTTATCCTCCTCGTTTTTGTCCTCAGACTTGTCTTCTTGTGAGGGTCGCGTTATCTGCTTTTAGAAAGAAGAGAACACAAAATAAAGCACATTTAGACGGCAGTTCTACTCCACTCTACAATTCCACACTGCCTGACAGATATACAGTATAAAGCTACAGATGCAATTAGGCCAATTAGGCATGATTGGTGCTATAATGCCTTTAGACGGCAGCGGTGAGTAATGTTTGTTTATTTGAGCTTGAGCTGTGACTTCCGTTTTTTTGGAAGCTACTAAGTGTCAAAAGCTAGGAAGCAAGATAGCTAATTAGTTCATTTAAGACTTGTACTATAGTAGTTGAACAAAATGAAAAAAGAATTTATTTGTAATAGCATTTATTTATATTGCAATTAATTGTCAGCTAATATTTTATGATTGTGACAGGTTTAAATCAGATCATTAGCTTTACCAAGAGTAGTTCAAAACTAGTCTCATATCAGCACTGACGGTCATCATCTATAGAGTCAGACACTAAATAAAACTTAAAACATGGCTCAAGTATGGATAAGGTTGGATTCGGTGACCTCCCACCCTCTCTCTCCTGTCTCCCTCAAGTTAAATCTGCCCAATCCCACTTCCCTTTTAAGGCAACATAAATGCTACAGTGAGCAATTTTCTCCTCTTTTACAAGAATGCACTTCGACACAAGCAGAAAACCCAAGACAAGAATCTTGCAAACTCCTTGCTGGAAAAAGGGCAAAGATGAGAGGCAACTTTAGCTGACCTAGATGCGGCGTAGTTCTGCACTTCAAAGCAATCAGACTGGTGAGTGTCTATTGAAAATGGCCTGGGATTAGACTTAATCTGGTTGTGAGGAAAGCATGCCGATGCATCTCCGGCCTTATCGTCCAGTACCCTGCAGGACTTGGACTTGGAGACACGCGGCGTCCGGGGTACAAGGGATCAACTTTAACAGCCAGGTGACCAATGAGCTTTGCCCAGAGAACGTGTGTGATAAAGGTCAAATCTGAGGTAAATAAAAATGGATGGTGCTATTAATGGCCATTTCACAAGAAAGAGAGGTACAGGAACACAAACACATACGGCAGGCTCATCAAGATGTAATGAGTATGGAGGAACAATGAATGCCCTGAGGTGACTCTGGTCTGGTCCTCAGACTTGTTAAAAAGAAAATAAGAGCGAGACGGTGACAAATATAAAAAGAAGAAAAAAAGTCAAAAAGCAAGAGCACTAAAGAGGGGATGGCCAGTTGGTGTACTCTACAAAAAGATAAGATTAGCGCTATGAGGCCCTTTGATGATGTTCACATGGACAGGGTTGTCTGGAAGGACAGACTTCACAGAGGCTCCCAAATCACAATAGACTCATTGTTGACAATACTCAGTTCAAAGAGGCCAAGAAAGCAAAGGCTTTACAGAGGGCTCGGGGCAGATCAGAGGAACATGAGGCGCTAGGCGGCCCAGTGACTGGGTTAAAGCTACACGCGCTCAGATGACCCTGTATGGAAAAACAAAAACAACAAGGCTGATGCTGTGACACAGCCTAGCCTTAAACACAACCTCTCCCTTCCTGGAGTGCACAGGCTGCTGGGGAAGGGCAATGGCCAAGCTCACACCCTGAGTAAGAGTGGATGGGAACAGAGAACCTGGGAGAAGCACAAACCCTGGATAATCATTCTATGAGTTGTAATGTCTACTTACTCTAGCCTAGCACATCGGGCCTGTTTACCACAAAAGAAAATTACACTCCACATCAGCAGGGTTACTTCATTTGGGGGAAAAAAAAACAAAAAAAAAAAAACACAGTTACAATTAAACCAATTGTTGGAAAGCTTGCCACATAAACGACTGGAGAACATATGGGCCACACAGGGTCACAGACACTCCTCATCTTGTTTTTCTTTTGTCGTTTCAGCTTGTGGTATATTAAGGACATTTGTTTGCATGAGGAGAGTGGAGTAAGAGCAAGAAAAAGAAAGGGAGATAGAGTGCAAGTGAGAGAGTGCAAGAAAAGCTAAACACCCGAAGGGCTCCTGAACATGGCTACCACTCGAAAAAAAAAAAAAGCCCACATCATGCACACAAAGTCTCTGTCCTTGTGGAGACAGCAGTTAAGGCCTACGTGTCAAACACAAGGCCCACAGGTCAAGTCAGGCATATTGAGCCCTCAAAATTATTTTAATTTTCTATTCTTATTAGCCCGTTTCACCCTGAGATGCACTACAGACCCCAGCATGCACTCCAACATAGTGTGCATTCCGACTCCCAAAAACAGTCTATGGGCCAGAGATTACACAAAAAAGAAAAGACAACCTAAAACAAGTTATTTTGATTTAGAATTATTTTTGAATGAGTATTCGACGACTATTTTGCTGTTGCAGTTTTGGCAGGTTTTGAATAAACAAAGGCCTGTTTGGGTCATGGCAAAATGTTAAGCAAAAACGAAATAAAAGCACAGCTGGCCCACGGATTTTAAAAAAAAACTCTTTTAGTGGTTGAGTTTGACACCCCTGAGTTAGAGGGTCCCACAGAAACATGTAAGCGGCAGGACTCCGGACAGAAGACTGGAAGTTATCAGACATTGAGGGGAAGGTTTGGCCAATGGAGGTCATGGTCTTCCTACCAGGAAGCAAGAGAAAATACTCCAGTAATAAGAAACAGGAAAATCAGGCTTCTTCCTTGTCCACTCCATCCAGCACCCTGGCTACTTGATGCCATATAAGCACACATGTGAGGGCAGCTTCCCCCCCTTGGAGTTGGAGGGATCACTATCCACCATTAAAAGTGACAAGACGGGAAAAAAAAAGCTTTTGCCAAACTTTTGCTAAGCAACATATCTGGATGTCAGCCACTACAGAGAGCTACTGTTTGTATAGGTAGCCAATTATAGGCTCAGGAAAGGCAACCAGACCAAAAATTACTTTGTATGGTGAAGATAGGAGGTCATCACAGTCTCCAAGCTGCCACCTCAAGCTATGGACTGTTAAGCTAAGCACCCAGAGCATTTGTGTCAAGGGACAGGGTACAGATTTGAAGCAAAAAAAAAGGCTTCTGAATGACTGTGAGGAGGACAGGAACGTCCCAAACGGATACATCTCATCTGCTAGCCAGTAGGGGCTGGCACACTGGGAAAAAAAGAGCAGAGTAATACACAGAAAGGCATACCCACAGTGAGATACTGAAACGAATGACAGAGATCTTGCATGTTTACAGACCAGCATCCCATGTCTAGTGCTACTTTTGAGTCCATGGCGACCTGCTGCGAGGATGTTTTCCTCTTGCAAGTGTTGAGAGCATGCGGTAACAGCCACAGGTCCTTTATCATGGTTTATGACGGTGGGATGGGGGAGCTGCACCCCTCCTCTGGTTGTTCCACGAAAGAGAGAGAACTAAGGGAACTAGGCTGCCTCAGCCAAGCCAAACAACCCATGCGGACACCAGATGGGGCCAAGGAATGTCAAAAGCTCAACTGTGGACAGAGGGTAAGTGGGAGAATAGGACCGAGAGACAAAAAGTAAGAGACACTAAATAGAAGTGAAAGTTGTGAAATCACAACAAAAAGCAACTATTTAAAGAGGACCTTGAGACAGGGTAGAAAAAAGTCCAAGTAAGTGAAGAGCAATAATAATAAAAGAGCTAGAAATGAAAGGCTTGAGGGTCATTCTCGGGAAGCTCAGAGCAGTGATGGCGCTCACGTCATCCATATGTGGGTATTTATGTTCCTGAACCCTTTACCACCACTTGGGCCGCATTAATAAAGTAGTACATTCGAAATAATAAACAATCAGTTTTACTTGAGAGAGGTCAATAAGCTAATCTCATTATAGAACTCGCCTGCCCTAAAAGACCAAGTATGAGGTAAGTCTTCAATCTTGTTCTTCAACTTCATAGCTTCTTCTCCATATTAGGAAGCAGGTCATATGAGAGATGACCAGTACCTTTGCTCTCAAACTAAGAACAAATACATTCACTGTCCTCTAACCCAACCACAGCAACTTGAATCAAACAAAAATGCATGATAAATAGCATCAGAAATGGTCCGACTATCTGAAGACTAAACCTTTTAACTTTGAACACAGGCTTCACACAGACAGCAAGTCAATTCCAAGTTCCCTTCCATAGAGCCAATACATATCTAAGGTTTTCTTAAAAGTAATAAACTGCAAAAACTGGAACCTGATTTGGACAGCTTTCACATTCCGACACGGCGTTTTCAGCTAACGATCACGATCATCAGCTAAAAGCGTGCCTAAACCCATCAAGGGAAAAAACATAACTAGTCTAAACACAGGATTAGATTCTTGATTCTGTATCTCTGGTCACAGTCCTGGTTAAGTGCAGGACCTGGAATGGTAGTATTTGTGTTGGAACAGCAAGATGTTCCAACTGGCCTCTTCCTCACTCCCGGCTTTTGCCAGCGTTCCTCCACACAGATGTTGCTTAAGCCCTTTTCACACTACACAATTTACGAGTCACTATGCTGGCAACACCTTTCACATGATACAAATGGCCTCAGTGTTCTAGAACAAGATTCATACACAACTGGCAAAATCCTCCCCTAACAGCCAGGTCCAGTTTCAACTAATTGAAATTCTGAGTCCAAGGCTAGCAAACTTGGGAAAAAGAGAATCCTGATTAATCCTAATCTAAAACTAGTCTGAATCCAGAAATCTAGCCTCTAGGAGCTATTACAAATACAAAAGTCAAAGTAGAAGTTGTGTAAGTGTGAAAAAAGGATTTAAAGTTCTCTGAATGCTGCTAAGAGACTGTCTCCCCTCTCCCTCAGTGTTCGGTTGGAGGCTTTGAGTCTCTCCCTTTTCTGCTGATTCACCAGGCACATATTTGAGTTAGGAAATGACAGGCTCGCAAGCCAAAAGCCTCCAAACGGCTTTTGGAAAGACTCCGCGATCACGGCTCTCTGACTTGGTTCTACTGCAAATCCACATTCCAGTCTGAAAAGGCGTCTCTGTTTAAAGAAACCCTTACACACTAATAAACTCAATTAAACATCCTACTGATATTTAAAAGTTGGATAGAACAAGAGCTCAAGCAAACAGA